AGAGTTGACTCTTGTGTCGGAAAGCGCTTCCGGGGATGAAATTGGTCTTAATTTGACTGACATTGGGGTCAAAGCGGATCCGTTTGCGATCGTTTCCGCCTTCACTGCTCTCTTCTGATTCTTCCGAGTCTTCAATGGTTTTGATCATCGCATCAATGGATCCGTTGGTGAGATATTTGTGTAACTCTTAAATGTGTGTCTGAAAAGCGAATTCACTCATGAGTTGATGGCAAGCATTGCGTCACTGAAAGTGTCAACAAATGGCAAATGGTTTGCACTAAACGTGTGGACAATAAATGTGTGCAAAACTGCATTGAAATGTCTTCTCAAACACTGAATGAGTGATTCACTCAATAATTAAGTTCGTCATAAGGAATAATGGGATCAATGTATCGCTCGAACCAATTGTGGACATAAGTATACGCGCGCCGGTTGTCGTAGTCATTGCTGTACATCAAACACATGTCTCTAATCACTCGCATAATGTCATTGAAAGCGACAAACTTTGTGAGACCAAAGCCTATATTGTGGTCAAACATGTCTAAATCGTTGGTCACTTTCGCACGGGTTGGCACATTATCGGTCCAATATTGCAGCACAAACTCACAAAACCGGGAATTACTAAATATGTACACGAGGTCGTCGGGTAAATATTGACGCGGCCAGTGATCGTCATCCATAATCACCGCCAAATAACACTGTAAAAAAATTAAGTGCGAGAGATCACATAATATGGACATTGCTAAAGTAAAGTAAAGTAAAGTATCCTTTTATTGGAATCATTATCAGCACTGCTGGTATTCTTAATAATCCAATTACATTCAGTGTTTTTATATACAATACATATTTGATATATTTCAAACATTTCATTACAAATACATATCATATAACTAATGTTCATAAAAATTTCAAAATTCCATGAATTCCCATGTTGCCGAAACGGAAAATAGAGAGAAACTACGGAAAATACAAAAGTGTGGGAAGGGGAATTTATTTTAGAAAAATAAATTTTTAAAATTATGATTATTTAAAGTATTAATTATAAATTGATTATTATAAAAACCACACCAATCACATAATTCGGTTCAAAGTATGGCAATAAATGTTATCACGCTATCAGTGTATGCCTTTTAGAAAATAGAACACCACATACAGAGCATATGTAGTGTTTCATTCATATATATAGTGACGAAATAAGTTATTAACTCTTATTTAATCATCAACATTAAAAATTGTATAAATGAACGTATGAATTAATGACAACAACAATCAACACAATTGAATGTTGCAATGTATCTCAAATGACATAAACCAGACACTCGCGCTTCCATTGACGGCATTGGTGCTGATCGTCATTAACTAATCGTATAATATTAACATATTTGCAAACCATGTCATAATTTTAGAAGACCAAAAGTATTGAACAAAATTTAATTAATACTGTATATTAATTATAATTATGAACAAAAATTTAATTTGAGACGATCGTAAATATTAAGACTTAATTATTGAATAATATTAATTTACAATTGATAATAAGAAACATTTTTTATTAACATTTTAATATTTAAGTGATTGATATGAAAGTCTTGTTAATAATGCGATTATCAAATAAGTTATTTTTAATTACAAAACAATGTTTGAATTTATGGATCGCATTACTATTGTTATAAAACATAAGTGAAATTCTTATATAATTAATATAATGTATGATTCACTTCAAATTAATATATTAATTATAATTATTATAATTAAAACTTACGATGAGTTAAACAATTATTAATGAATATATTTAATATAATGGTGACATAAGTTTCCAACACTTATTTGTTATATTTTGTCCACAATTGGCCATCGCCGCCGCACCATAAATCGTGTTTAAGTTCAATGGTTTAAGTTTAAAATATAACAAATAAGTGTTGGAAACTTTTGTCACCATTATATTAGATATATTCATTAATAGTTCCGACGTAATCGACAAACGTTATGCTAAAATTAAGGAACTTACTCAATATTGTACGTTATTTATGGCGCACGGCGTTTTTATTTTAGTGTACTTATATGATTATTAATTATAATTGAAATGATAATTATTTTTACAAGTTAACTAAATAATTTAATTTTTAGTTTTCAATTTTTGGCCATTTATGCATTAAAACTGAACTTAAGTGACTTAATGTTTATTTTCGATTGTGAAGTGTAGTAACTTTTTTTTTAACAGTGATATTGTCTATATATTCAGTATATATTATTAATAAGTGATGCAAAGCATACATATATGTGTGAAGTAATGATTATACCATCCCTTCATAGCAAATATACACACATTTATAGCAATCAAAACATAACACAAATCACTATTCATTACAACAAACAGATGAAAGAGTTGTTGATTGGGCGGAGGTCTGTGTCCAACACCACAATCACTACAACACAGTAAACACAGCCATATATTAGTGTCAATCCATACCATTATTGTCACCCATTATACCAACCAATCACTGGAGAGGATGTCAAGCATTGTATGTATTGCTACGGCTGTCTGTCAGCCATCACTGTGTTATGCATTGTATATCTGTGTTAACCATTGTATTCCTCCTCAGCATAAGCTGAAGTCAGCCGAGAGGGCGAAAGTGAGACAATTCATACAATTGACGAATTGCTCGGAGAAGATAGCGATCAACTGTTTGGCGCAGAATGAGTGGCGTCTGGAGATGGCGTGCGACTCGTTCTTCACGAGTCCCGACCAATACATGAAAGTCGTGGACAGGAAGAAGATCGACAACTGGTTCGCCAAATACTCGCAGAGCAACGACAAGATACTCGTCGACGGATGCATTCAACTGCTCGATGACCTCAATCTGCGCCCAAACGACCGCAAAGTCTTGATTTNATGACCTCAATCTGCGCCCAAACGACCGCAAAGTCTTGATTTTGGCGCAACGGCTTCGGGCGCAGAGACAGTGCGAGTTCACTAAACACGAGTTCACTAATGGTATGATTGACATGAACTGCGACTCCAATCACGCCTTATATCAACGTTTGGTCGAATTGGACAACGAGTTGACCACCGATTTGAATAAACTGCGAGATCTGTATCTCTTTGCCTGGCATTACGGCAAACAACTGGAGGCCAAAACCATGGATTGGGAGACAGCCGTCGAGTACTGGAACATACTTTTGTACAATTGTGTGAACAAACAGTTGCTTCAGCTGTGGATTGAGTTCGTGTCCCAAAACGCAAAGGCGGTCACTAAAGACACGTGGAATCTATTGCTGGAGTTCGCGACGAGTATCGACTCTACGCTCAGTAATTATGACTTTGACGGCGCGTGGCCTACGCTTATCGGTATAGTTATATCTGTCCACTACCTCTCCCTCGCGATCTCTCTATCACTATAACTAACTTTGGTATTGATTTTGCAGATGATTTCGTGTTGTGGGCCAGAGATCGACTCAAAGCACACAATACGCGCCCAACCATTCAATCCAATCAATGATTAGACCCATTGTTCAGTCATCTAATGTCTCACAATATTTTCTCTTAATTTTGTAATTAAATAATTGAATTGTTTTCTTCTCTATATATTGTGTCAATCGATTCTTTCTTTATATTCAACTATATTTATAAACAATTTTCTTTAAGTATTTTTTGTCTGTAATTATCATTGATTTGCGATTCATTAATTAAAGCTGTTATTCAATACAATTGATATATTAAATGCAAAACTTATAATTTTAGTTGAATTATAAAACTGGTGGCCGTCGTCATCATTAGTGCTGACAATAAACATTTATTTCATTTATATTAAACTTAAAAATACATAATAAAGACATAAATTATGAAATGTATAATAAAAACAATTAATTAAAGCGAAAGGTATTGTAGTTTAATATTAGTTCTATTGATTACACTCTGAGTCATACAAAAAACTGGATTTATTTGTTTAATCTTTTCTGATATGGATTTCCATTGATTCGCGTAATCAAAGCCATCGTCGGTGTTGTGGTCGACGGGAATCGACTCGTTTGGATCGCAACTGTACTGATGGCTCAACAGAGACAGACCCGTCAGTCCGAAGAGTGTGTGGAAGGGATCAACCATATTGCCGGGTCGGTCACCAAAACCACCGGTCTCTTCGTCCTGAGTCGCCAGTATAAAGCGCAACAGTTTGTGTTTATCGATCCAATGCAAGCGCCCGATGATTGTCAACGAGGCCAACACCCACCACGAGTAGCACAAATCAGGCAACTTCTCCGGCCGACCGTTAAGTCCGCCCGACGGCAGCTGCCTCTCAGCCAACCACCAGCCCAATAGGTCTGCGTCTATCCGATCCAATTGGCCCGCTATTGACAGACTCGCTGTCATTCAAATGGACACAATTCCTCAATCAGTAAATCAATTGTCAGTTTAATTTATTCAATATAATACCTAACGAGCAGTATATGAGTCCGGCGTGTGATTCACTGCCCGGTCGTGAGCCGAAGCCGCCATCGATGGTGTTGTAGCACAACATTACGTAATCAATGGTTTTGTCCAAATCAATGGTATCTAAGCGGCCGAGTAATGCCAAACTCCCGATCCCAGCGAACGAGAACCTGATGTCCACTTCGCCCCACGAGTCGCCCATAAAACTGCCGTCACTTTTGTGAAGAGATCTGATATATTGGGCTGTTTTGTCGATATCTATGATCTGATCGTTGAGGGCGTCGTACGACACCATTATCTGAATGGCGCTAAACGTGTACAACAGGTGCGGGTCGTGACCTTTGGCCGCACTTATGCCTCCGTTCGGGTGGACACACGTCTTGATCATCGCCAAGATGTCAGCCCTTCCAGCTATGGGTGAAGTGAGACATGGATTTAGTGAATATAACGATAATAAGGCTGATGTGAAGAGTGGATGAGTTGTGACAAACCTTTATCGAAGTCGCTGTCCATCAGCTGAAGAGCAGTTGTGGTCCAATAGATGCCACTCATCCTCAAGTACTCGACCATCAATTGCTCGTAATTTTCATTACTATTGTCGGCGTATTTGCGAAGAAAGTGGATGTGTTTGGAGAGCAACAACTCCTTCGGCAGCGAACCAGTCATCTCCACATCTCTGGTCAACATTATCTCTGATGGTCTGATGGACTGATGGACAGCACGAGAGGTGATAATGAGTGACAATCGGTGGTCAACACAAACACGAGATGACAAACGAAATATCTATTTGTTTACTTGCAATCGCGAAATCATGTGCTTATGAGACACACATATAAGTCGTGAATGTATTTGTATTTCGATTCCCCCATAAGTTTAGTCATTAATTAGGAATGCTTTCAACTCCTATACAACCGCTTATGTGATGTGAAGGCATACCTCTCCCTCCCCTCCACTGCTGTCACGTTGTGTGAGTAATGGTAAGGATTGAGTGAATGAACGAGTGATGACATCTAATGGCAGACACTATAAGCGCATCACATCTTAGGCCTGAATATTGAGATAAAAGTTTAGGATTAGTTTGATTTGCGATAAGGAATCGCAAAAAACTAGTTTCCATATAAACATCACTGATCTCATCAGGTACATTTACAGGCACACCAATTATTGCACATTTATATTACACACTAACGTAACCAATACACTATACACAGTACTGTGTATATTAAATACATCGGTGTAAATAAACACACATACAAATGCCCATCCATTTTAATTGTTGAGTCGTTTTAATGTATTTTAACGATTCTTCACTCAATTTGAATTGAATGGAGAAAAAAGTTTTTAAAAATAATATATGAGAGAAAAAAGTTGTCATTTGAGAAGTGAAGGCTTAGTCAACCCATCTGTGGTCTCAACCCATTAATTAATATCAATTTTATTCTCTGCAAACACTTTGGAAAATATTATTGCTATCGTTATCTGAAACCCAATTAAATGTTATTAAAGTGTGAAAAGTTTTTGTATTTTTAAAATAAGTTTGTTTTATGTAATAGTGTTTTCAATCATAAGTGTTGATAACACAGTGTGTGTTGAGACATGTCTTTGGCCGGCCTTAAGAAGCAGTTGAATAAAGCGAATCAATTTGTGAGCGAAAAGATCGGTAACGCTGAGGGAACCAAAGCTACCGATGAGTACATCGAGTTAGAGAGACAGACAGATGTGATACACGCTGTGGTCGACGATATGGTCAGTAAGACTAAGGAAGTGTTGCACCCGAACCCCGCCCTTAGGGCCAGAATGGCTGTCAATTCGAGGATTAATAGCACCAGAAAGTCGTGTTATCCGCACCCGGAAAAGGATTTGGGAGAATGTATGACCAAATACGGCACTCAACTCAAAGATGGATCAGCTTTTGGCAGAAGTCTCGTTGAAGTCGGAGAAACTTTTAAGGAATTGACAGAAATTAAGTCTAAATTTGAAGACAGAGTTAAGACTAGATTTTTGGATCCATTGAATCGATTGCAGACCAAAGATATAAACGATTGTATGCATCACCGGAAGAAACTCGAGGGCAGGAGATTAGACTACGACTGCAAGAGACGGAAGATATCTCGTCAGTCATCTCAAGATCACGACCCGGACGTGAAGTTAGCCGAAAGCAAATACAACGAGTCGTTTAATTTGGCGACCGTTGCGATGAAGAACCTGTTGGACAACGAAGAGGAACAGTCACAGCA